CGGATCGCCACGTGGCCAATGGCGTGCCGGAGGCGCGAGACGTGGTCCCGCTTGCAGACGTCCCACACTGACCTCGAGTCCCTTATAACCCCCCTCCGCGTCTGACTGAGATGACTGGCAAATGCACCAGCTGTGACCCCTTTTCTGCCAACTTGCTGCATTTTAGCCACCCGGCGCTCCGCTCGTTAATGTGAGCGTCGCTTCTCCGTCCTCCGTTGTTTTTGGGAGGCGACTGCCTCCAACTGACCAGTAGCGTCCTTCGCGAGCCTCCTCTATAGATGTCGATCTTGCACCGCTGGTACCGGTCATCAGTAAGTCCATTCAGCTCCACATCCTGCTGTACTGCATCAGTCTTTCTTATCCAGCCCTTGTCATACCTGTTTAGCCCCCTCTATGCGGCCAAAAAGAAGCTGCTTGGGCAAGCGGTGGCTGGGCATGCGGGCTACATGACCCAGCCAACAACGCCTTGCCTGCCAGATGAGCTCACTAATGGGAATGTGTGCAGATATTCGAGGATTGTGAGCGCCTCACACAATCCAGCCTGGTCAAACCCAGGATGGATCTTATGCAGGCCAGCCTGAATGTTTCTGACCAGCGCAGATATTGCACCAGAGGGGTCCACGTTTGACAAGCATAGAGAAGGGAGGGCATGACTGTGGCCACACAGCATAACGCAGCCGATGAAAAGAAAATGCCGTCCGACTGATTCGGAGTGAGACCTCAGCTGTCAAATAGGAGTTACTTTAACACAAATGAAAAAATACACAGGCTGAATAAATTTGGTACTGTATTTGTCAGTGACAATAATTATCTCTTAGATGTTACAGTAATTTACAGCCTTTGTATATCCACTGTTGGATGAGGGCCTTCTCACACTCAACCTGGATCGGGTAGGTCCAGGCTCTGGGCTGTGAGCTCCACACTCCGTGTTTTTGGCTCCACACTCCGTGTTTTGGGCTCCACACTCCGTGTTTTGGGCTCCAGGATTCAGGCTCCAGCGGTTGAGGTCTGGAGTCCCGGGGCTGTGGTTCAGATGTCCTTCATCAACACATGTATCTGAGTGTGACGAGAGGATGAAGGATCTGTAGATATTTCATCTGGTTTTCATCCCTCCGTTTAATGGAAGAATGAATGAGAAAAAAAATATTTTCTGTGGAAGCTCAGTGGATCTTGATGCTGAAAATGCAAATATGTTGATGAAGAGGACATCACGATAGGGGTAATTCCCAATTGTCCAAGCGAATGTGCCATCGGGTGACCTCAATAGATTACATTCAAATTATAGCCATGGGTAACCCCCATGAGACCATTTGTAAAGTTGAACAGGAAAAACTGTCATTCCGCCTAAAAATAGCCACCAACACCCAACATGCACTGGTCGAGGGGGACACATGAACACACCCCACTAGGGACTTTACCCTTCAAAAATACGACCAAATTGATCATTGAAAGGGGTGACGACACTGACTTTAATATCTACAAATCATTTAGCCTATCACACGCATATTCATTACTCGTGATTGGAGACAATACAAAAAAACATGTATTAGTCAATTACCCACAGACGCAACCAGGGTGTAGGAAAAGTTCTACCATCAACCACACACATACTCGGGATGTGCTCCAGATTTTAAAATTCATTGTAAAAATCTGAAAATCAAGCCTAGATACAACATTTCGGATGTTGCGGAAAACAAAAGTGTTATATCGGATTGATAAAAAAAACACGGAAAGTGACGTCACTAACCGGGTAACGTCGGAAAATGTTGGCACAAAGACAAATGACGTCACACAGCAGTGGTTCTCACATCAGAGATTGTCACAGCAGAGATTGTCACAGCAGTAGTTATCACAAGAGTGGTTCTCACAGCAGTGGTTCTCACATCAGAGATTGTCACAGCAGAGATTGTCACAGCAGAGATTGTCACAGCAGAGATTGTCACATCAGTGGTTCTCACAGCAGAGATTGTCACAGCAGTGGTTCTCACAAAAGTGGTTCTCACATCAGATATTGTCACAGCAGAGATTGTCACAGCAGAGATTGTCACAGCAGTGGTTCTCACAGCAGTGGTTCTCACATCAGAGATTGTCACAGCAGAGATTGTCACATCAGAGATTGTCACAGCAGTGGTTCTCACAGCAGTGATTGTCACAGCAGTGGTTCTCACAGCAGTGGTTCTCACAGCAGTGGTTCTCACATTCAACAGTAGCCAACAAAAGGTTGAGAACCACTGCATGAGACAACTTGCACAGATTAATGACATCTCGCCCATTAATAAAAATGGGCTTGGGCAGGACAAGGAATGTAACGCATGCAAGAGTCTGCCGAGGCCTTCATTCAGCAGTGGATTGATCATGGCTGATGACGTGGGTGCAGCAGTGGTGCACTGCAATAATAATCCGGCGACCTGAGTTCCACTCCCGGCGATAGCTAACATCAGTGGTAAGTCTTATCTGAACCCTATTCAACAGCATAATCCTGACCAGCGTGGTGAAGTATGGTCACACAACGCCCCGGGTGTGTGGAGGCTTTCACCCAGCATTGCGTTGACAAAAGGCTCTCAATTAGTGAACAATTGTGACTTGTGATTTCCTGCCAGTTTTTGCTGACATTTTGATAAATTTTAGAGAAAAGCACCTCGGAGCACCGCTCTTAGTGCGTCACGAAAAAATATATAAATGCTTCAAGTCAGCGATGATCGGTCAGAGCACAGACACCGAGGACACCGCGCGAGTGCAAACAAGTCGGTTGAAGATTCGTATACAGCACGTACTAGGTCGGCACGGAAGGCATTTTGCTGTGCGTCGTGTAGCTTACGCCTATACTTGATGATGATGGTGGTCATGATATGTATGCTGCTGCTGATGATGCTGTAGATAGAGGGGGTCATCAGAAAGGAGAGATGCACGTGGATGCCGATGATGCCTGTGGCACCGTGGCTACAGCGGCGCATCGCGATCGGTTTTTCCACTGCACCACTAAAGTCCCAGGGAGCGCGCCGCCGGCGTTTTGAGAATTTCTCGGAAAAGAAAAAACGTCAACTGGTCGCACAGCTCGGACGAGACGGGACTCTCTCTCTCTATCTCCCCCGTGCTTGTTCAGTGGCCGATGCAGCAGAAGACGGCCGGGAGCGCACACTCCCACCGCATGACCGTCCACGCAGCGCAGGGCTCACAGTAGAGCAAAGAGATGATGGAGCAAGCTCGAACAGTGTGCCGTGGAATGAAAACGGCCGAGGTGCTCTGGGGTTCAGGTGTCTAAGTCAATGAAATGAGCAACACCTGGAGGATGTCTGCGGCAATTTGGATTCAGACAGAATGTTAATGTGTGGGTAGATGAAGAGCGAATGTCCAAGATTTTCATGGGCATGCATGGTTGTGTAAACAGTAAACTGGAAAGTATCAGATCTAACAAAACATGCGTTTAGAATTTCGATTTAAAGCTTTCGTGACTGCAGGGATTCATAATCTTGGTTCTTTCGGTAAAGTTACGTAGAAGGGAAATAATAAAATAATAAAAATAAAACAATAAAAAATGTATTTGATTATTTCCCTTCTTTGTGACTTTACGGAAAGAACCAAGAATATGAATCCGAAAGCTTTAAATCGAGATTGTATTGTTATCAATATATAATTCCGCGTGTATAACCAGGGAAGTCTCTATTTCTGCAGTACTTCGTGGAGTGGAGAACAGCTCGGATAAAGATGGCATGAATGGGTGTTGCTGAACACAAGCCTGCCCGTGAGTATTTGAATTGAGGCATCATAAGACGTGACACAACACATGACAAAAAAAACCAGAGCTCTACAAAATAAATAAAATCATAATACTTGTCACACCGTCATATGATTATTCCGGAAAACATGCGTTAAAGCACTCCCGTATATTTTTGGCTATATCCGCTATTTATTTTCAATTTTATCGATCGCTATTTTGTCATTTCATGTTTCGTGATATGACGATCTTTTTTTCCTTTCAAAATATACGCTGCGAATCGGATGGATATTTTTTCAAATCGTATAATCCAGTATCGTATCGCCAATTCGATCAACCAGTCGAGTAACATTCTTCCTGGGTCGTGTTCACTTTGGTCTCCGCCGTGTTTCTATGTCTTCATGTGTCTGCCAGTGTCTCCGTGTTATAAAGGGGCCCTAAATAAATAAATATAAATATGAAAAGACAGGTTTTACTTGCATAGTAAAGTAATTATATATTGTCATCTGCTATACAGCCAGATACTAAGACAAATAGCTAACCTTAAACACCCAGTCGTTCATAAAAGTTAAAGGCAGCCTAGTACTATAGTAATAGAGCGAGTGCAGAATCACTGAACCGGAATTGACAGCTTGAAAACGTTTAGCGCGGGGCCCTTGAAAGTGCGGGGCCCGTAGCTACTGCACGTGTAGCTACTACATATGTAGCTACATATGTACTACAAGATAATTCGACAGTGCCGTATCTCTGTCTCCGTGTATGTCTCTGTGTCTCCGTGTGTGTCTCTGTGTCTCCGTGTGTGTGTGTATCTCCCGTGTCTCTGTGTGTTCCCCCGTGTCTTTTGTCTATCTCTGTACAATATGTCTGTGTGTATCTCAATGTCTCTGTGTATATCTCCGTGTCTCTGTGTGTGTTATCGTGTCTCCATGTCTCTGTGTGTATCTCCGTGTCTCGACTCGATTCCCACTCACAGCCACAAACACCGATGACGATTATCTGAACCGGTCCCGGGCCTCCCCTAGATCGACTCAGCCTCAAATTAGTACAGTAGAAACATCGCCTCCATGGAGACAAAGGTGGCCGGGCGTGGTGTTGGTCTCCCACCCCCTCGCTTGCAGCACTCGCCCCAGCACTTACGTTGAGACCATACTTCACCACACTGGTCAATGCCAGTTTGTCAAAGGGGAACGGCCGAACCAATTCAGATGTCACTCGCCACTGATGTTAGCCGTGGTCAGGGCCGTACATGGGGGGGGGGGTGCTTGGGCCCGGGGAAAACCCCACCAGAGGTATCACATCTGACGCCGCGTGACGTCAAATCGAGGGACCTCCCAAAGGCCTGGGGCGGTCGCCCCGATTCGCCGTACCCCTAGGGACGGCTCTGGTTAAGACTATACCAGCTCAGTAACATTCTTCTTAGATTGTCTTTATCACTGGATGTCTATCTTCGTGTGTGTGTGTGTGCCTCTCTCCGTGTGTATCTCTGTGTGTATTTCCATCTCTAGGTGTGTTTCCACGTGTACCACCTGGGTGGCTTCTCGTCCGACAAACTCACGGCGCGTGGCCGGGGTGAAATTTCGTGAATGCTCAAATTCGTTAGTCGAAAAGTGTCAATTTTCGTTCACGTGTACGTTCGTAAGCCGAACGTTCGTAAATCGAGTGATAGACTGTACTTTAAAGATGGAGCGTATCGAACGACTGAACGATCTTCCTATTTTCCGCAAATTTACTACGGATAAGATGATTTGTGCAGAAATTTCATCCCTTTATTCAAAATACAGATTTTTTGGGGGGTTAGATAGCGTAAATATTAATGTGTCGTTCACCCGCCACCACCCGACACAGCCAATTAGTAAGGTTTGTCACGTAAACAGAACATGCCAATTTGTTACTAGTCCAACACACCGGTGTGTTGGAGAGCAAATCCACAACATTTTGTGGATTTCAGGATCTAACCCAACAATAACTGTATTATGAGTCATATTAGTCACGTGTTAAACCTTCATCCCTTTAATCTGAAATGCAAGACACGGGTATCAACCAGCCCTTTTTTTTCCCAGCATGCACTTTACAGTACTTATTATCTGATGGTGTGTCACGGATAAGTGGAGTTCGTTACCTAATTCAAAATGTTCTTACTTTTTTGTCGCATAGGTATGGAGAATGTATGGATAACGTCCCGCATAACAGGATCCTCAACGGCTGTGCCATGATCGTCACCATCTTCCCAAAAACTCCACCTCCAGACTCGGTAACAGTCTTGCCCTCCAACACCCTGCACACATAATCCTGCACTCATTTCATCCTCCTCTTATCCGCAACGAATATCGATGGAAATGTACAGATGGCAGGATGGAGTTGTTCATAATATACGTTTTTTGGGGTTAGATCGCGTTATTTATAAATGTGTCGTAACCCTCCACCACCCGACACGGCCAATCAGCAAAAAAAGTGTCACGTTGACAAAAGAAAAATGAAATTTTGATTTAAAGCTTTCGTGACTGCAGTAATTCATATTCTTAGTTTTTTCGGTAAAGTCACGTTGAAGAGAAACAACAAAATAACACAATATATATAAAACAATAAAAAAAAATTCTCACGACGTTTCGACCATAACTCAAACGGTCATCATCAGGTGTGTCGGTTTGCATAAATTTATTTTTAAAACGGCACATTTATTTATAAAAAACGTTGGCGTCACGCGCAGCCATTGGCAGTTTGCCCAGGACTAGTCCATCTATTTTTTTTTTTAAAAGAGGAGGGGGGAGACGAAATTTTTTATAATGTATGCTGTCTGAAAGCCATTGTAAGCGTGAACAATCAATCAAGAACTGAAATGATTTATCAAATCTTTCCAATGATTGCTAAGATAGAATCCATCTTCTCGGTTGAAATTGTCTCTGTGCTTGTATATGTGGATAGCCTCATGAACGAATCTCTCATGGAAGCCAGATGGCTTACAAAGAACCTCCGTCTTGGAAAAGTCAATGGCATGTGAGCCTACTGAATTAGAACAATGATCTGCTACGGCCGAGGTGTTGGTCCTACCGTGTTTAAGGTCTGCTTTATGTTCACGAATGCGGTCCGAGACATGGCGTTTGGTTTCTCCAATGTAACTACTACCACAGAGGCAACTTAGTTTGTAGACACCAGGGTATTGTATGTCCGGAATCACATCTTTTACAGACGGAACCAGATCACGGATTTTATGTAATGTGTTGAAACGGACCTGGATCTTGTGTTTATTCAAGATTTTGGAGATCTTTTTTGTGATCCCAGCAATGTAGGGTAAAGTGATGGTTTTGAAAGGCTCCTCAAGAGGGTTCTTCTTCATGGTTTGAGTGATAGCTTTGCGGATTGTATAGTCGGAGTAACCATTAGCCCTAAGAGCTTGGTGTACGTGCTTGAGTTCACTGCTTATGTGTTCCTGGTCGGATATGCATTGGGCTCTATGATACAGAGTCTTGATGAGAGAATTCTTTTGTGATGGATGGTGGTGGGAATCCGGTTTCAGATAAGCATCCGTATGGGTAGCTTTCCTGTAGACAGAGTGGCTCATTGAACCATCAGGTCTCTTTTTAATTAGGACATCCAAAAAAGGTATCTTGCCATCTATTTCGACTTCCATGGTAAATCTGATGGCTGGGTGTATGGAATTGATGTGGTCGAAGAATTGGTCTAGAGCAGGCCGGCCATGTGGCCAGATGACAAAAGTGTCATCCACGTACCTCTTCCATAAGGTTGGGCGCAGAGTGGCAGTCTGGATGGCGTCAGTCTCAAATTTCTCCATGAAAATGTTAGCTATAACTGGAGAAAGGGGGGAGCCCATTGGGGTGCCCTCAGTTTGTTTGTAGAAAGTTCCATTCCAAGTGAAGTATGTATTGGTTAAACAGTGTCTCACCAGGGGGGGTGCCTCAGTGTTTAGTCCTTGATGAACCAAGTCTTCAATGATTGCAATGGTGTCAGGTACAGGAACCTTGGTGAATAAGGAAACTACATCAAAACTGACAAGCAGGTCGTCTGGGGACAGGGAAATACCCTTGATTGTTGATACCAGGTGAGTAGAATTTTGTACCGCAGAGGTGGTCTTTCCAGTGAAAGGACGCAGGATTTCAGACAAAAAACGAGCTAGTTTGTAGGTGGGGGAGCTGATAGTAGAGACTATGGGACGAAGAGGTGTATCAACTTTATGTATTTTTGGTAAGCCGTATAATCTTGGTGGCCTGGCAGCAGAAGGTTTCAACGAAAACTGTTTAGATTGATCAATTAATGCGGTTGAACCAACAAAATAATTTCTGATTCAACCGCATTAATTGATCAATCTAAACAGTTTTCGTTGAAACCTTCTGCTGCCAGGCCACCAACATTATACGGCTTACCAAAAATACATAAAGCTGATACACCTCTTCGTCCCATAGTCTCTACTATCAGCTCCCCCACCTACAAACTAGCTCGTTTTTTGTCTGAAATCCTGCGTCCTTTCACTGGAAAGACCACCTCTGCGGTACAAAATTCTACTCACCTGGTATCAACAATCAAGGGTATTTCCCTGTCCCCAGACGACCTGCTTGTCAGTTTTGATGTAGTTTCCTTATTCACCAAGGTTCCTGTACCTGACACCATTGCAATCATTGAAGACTTGGTTCATCAAGGACTAAACACTGAGGTACCCCCCCTGGTGAGACACTGTTTAACCAATACATACTTCACTTGGAATGGAACTTTCTACAAACAAACTGAGGGCACCCCAATGGGCTCCCCCCTTTCTCCAGTTATAGCTAACATTTTCATGGAGAAATTTGAGACTGACGCCATCCAGACTGCCACTCTGCGCCCAACCTTATGGAAGAGGTACGTGGATGACACTTTTGTCATCTGGCCACATGGCCGGCCTGCTCTAGACCAATTCTTCGACCACATCAATTCCATACACCCAGCCATCAGATTTACCATGGAAGTCGAAATAGATGGCAAGATACCTTTTTTGGATGTCCTAATTAAAAAGAGACCTGATGGTTCAATGAGCCACTCTGTCTACAGGAAAGCTACCCATACGGATGCTTATCTGAAACCGGATTCCCACCACCATCCATCACAGAAGAATTCTCTCATCAAGACTCTGTATCATAGAGCCCAATGCATATCCGACCAGGAACACATAAGCAGTGAACTCAAGCACGTACACCAAGCTCTTAGGGCTAATGGTTACTCCGACTATACAATTCGCAAAGCTATCACTCAAACCATGAAGAAGAACCCTCTTGAGGAGCCTTTCAAAACCATCACTTTACCCTACATTGCTGGGATCACAAAAAAGATCTCCAAAATCTTGAATAAACACAAGATCCAGGTCCGTTTCAACACATTACATAAAATCCGTGATCTGGTTCCGTCTGTAAAAGATGTGATTCCGGACATACAATACCCTGGTGTCTACAAACTAAGTTGCCTCTGTGGTAGTAGTTACATTGGAGAAACCAAACGCCATGTCTCGGACCGCATTCGTGAACATAAAGCAGACCTTAAACACGGTAGGACCAACACCTCGGCCGTAGCAGATCATTGTTCTAATTCAGTAGGCTCACATGCCATTGACTTTTCCAAGACGGAGGTTCTTTGTAAGCCATCTGGCTTCCATGAGAGATTCGTTCATGAGGCTATCCACATATACAAGCACAGAGACAATTTCAACCGAGAAGATGGATTCTATCTTAGCAATCATTGGAAAGATTTGATAAATCATTTCAGTTCTTGATTGATTGTTCACGCTTACAGTGGCTTTCAGACAGCATACATTATAAAAAATTTCGTCTCCCCCCTCCTCTTTTAAAAAAAAAAATAGATGGACTAGTCCTGGGCAAACTGCCAATGGCTGCGCGTGACGCCAACGTTTTTTATAAATAAATGTGCCGTTTTAAAAATACATTTATGCAAACCGACACACCTGATAATGACCGTTTGAGTTATGGTCGAAACGTCGTGAGAATTTTTTTTTTTATTGTTTTATATATATTTTGTTATTTTGTTGTTTCTCTTCAACGTGACTTTACCGAAAAAACTAAGAATATAAAAAGAAAAATGGTTTACTACGTTAGCCCACCAGTGTGTTGAAGAGTGAATCCACAACATTTACAATTTCTGAGTACGACGTTTCGCTGGTAATTACATCCAGGATCATCGGGCAATTCTGGCGTCAACGTGACACTTTTTTGCTGCTTGGCCGTGTCGGGTGGTGGAGGGTTACGACACATTTATAAATAACGCGATCTAACCCAAAAACGTTTATTATGAATAATATTGGTCGCGAAAGCCTACATGTTAAACCGAGGATGGAGTTGGCAAACAGTCCAGTAGCACAGTAGTTTTCTGTCCTAATTGTGTAAGTAAAGTTATTTTGTACTGTGTGTGTACCGTGTGTACTGTGCGTGTGTACTGTGTGTACTCTGTGTACTGTGTATGTACTGTGTGGTGTGTATGTACTGTGTGTGCTATGTGTGTACTGTGTGTGTACTGTGTGTACTATGTGTGTGTGCTGTGTGTATTGTGTGTACTGTGTGTGTACTGTGTGGTGTGTGTGTGTACTGTGTGTGCTATGTGTGTACTGTGTGTGTACTGTGTGGGGTGTGTGTGTACTGTGTGTACTCTGTGTACTGTGTGTGTACTGTGTGTACTGTTTGTGTACTGTGTGTGCTATGTGTGTACTGTGTATGTACTGTGTGGGGTGTGTGTGTACTGTGTGTACTGTTTGTGTACTGTGTGTGCTGTGTGTGTACTGTGTGTGCTGTGTGTGCTGTGTGTATTGTGTGTACTGTGTGTGTACTGTGTGATGTGTGTGTACTGCGTGTGTGTACTGTGTGTATTGTGTGTGTACTGCGTGTGTGTACTGTGTGTATTGTGTGTGCACTGCGTGTGTGTACTGTGTGTACTGTGTGTGTGTGTACTGTGTGCTGTGTGTGTACTGTGTGTATTGTGTGTGTACTGCGTGTGTGTACTGTGTATATACTGTGTGCCCTACGTGGCAGGCAGCTGTCTCGTGCAGTTTCATTTCACTGCTCCCTTTGTTTGGACTACATCTACTACTAATACATCTACTACTACTACATCTACTACTACTACATCTACTACTACTACAGCATATACTACTACTACAACATCTACTACTAATACATCTACTGCTACTACATCTACTACTATTACTACAACATCTACTACTAATACATCTACTACTAATACATCTACTACTACTACATCTACTACTAATACATCTACTACTACTACATCTACTACTACTACTACATCTACTACTACTACATCTACTACTACTACAGCATCTACTACTACTACAACATCTACTACTAATACATCTACTGCTACTACATCTACTACTATTACTACAACATCTACTACTACTACATCTACTACTACTACAACATCTACTACTACTACATCTACTACTACATCTACTACTACTACAACATCTACTACTACATCTACTACTACTACATCTACTACTACTACAACATCTACTACTACTACATCTACTACTACATCTACTACTACTACAACATCTACTACTACAACATCTACTACTACATCTACTACTACTACATCTACTACTACTACAACATCTACTACTACATCTACTACTACATCTACTACTACTACAACATCTACTACTACATCTACTACTACATCTACTACTACTACAACATCTACTACTACTACAACATCTACTACTACATGTACTACTACATCTACTACTATTACTACTATTACTACAACATCTACTACTACATCTACTACTACTATTACTACAACATCTACTACTACTACTACTACATCTACTACTACTACATCTACTACTACTACATCTACTACTATTACTACTACATCTACTGCTACTACATCTACTACTATTACTACTACATCTACTGCTACTACATCTACTGCTACTACATCTACTACTATTACTACTACATCTACTACTACTACATCTACTACTACAACATCTACTACTATTACTACAACATCTACTACTACTACATCTACTATTACTACAACATCTACTACTACATCTACTGCTACTACATCTACTACTATTACTACAACATCTACTACTACTACATCTACTATTACTACAACATCTACTACTACATCTACTGCTACTACATCTACTACTATTACTACAACGTCTACTACTACTACATCTACTGCTACTACATCTACTACTATTACTACAACATCTACTACTACTACATCTACTACTACAACATCTACTACTATTACTACTACATCTACTACTACATCTACTACTACTACAACATCTACTACTACTACATCTACTACTACTACATCTACTACTACTACAACATCTACTACTACTACATCTACTGCTACTACATCTACTACTACTACATCTACTACTACTACATCTACTACTACTACATCTACTACTATTACTACTACATCTACTGCTACTACATCTACTACTATTACTACTACATCTACTGCTACTACATCTGCTGCTACTACATCTACTACTATTACTACTACATCTACTACTACTACATCTACTACTACAACATCTACTACTATTACTACAACATCTACTACTACTACTACATCTACTATTACTACAACATCTACTACTACATCTACTGCTACTACATCTACTACTATTACTACAACATCTACTACATCTACTATTACTACAACATCTACTACTACATCTACTGCTACTACATCTACTACTATTACTACTACATCTACTACTACTACATCTACTACTACTACAACATCTACTACTACTACTACATCTATTACTACTACATCTACTACTACTACAACATCTACTACTACTACATCTACTGCTACTACATCTACTACTACTACATCTACTACTACTACATCTACTACTACTACAACATCTACTACTACTACATCTACTGCTACTACATCTACTACTACTACATCTACTACTACTACATCTACTACTATTACTACCACACAAAGCGAGGGGAAACCTGTATCATGCAATTTGCCGTGCTTCACGGCAGCGGTGACTTCTATAAACGCAAATTCCTCCATCTTAATAATCATCTTCACTTGAGATAATTCCTATGAGAATCAACATTCGATGTATCGTTTCAGCATTGTATACATGTCTGAACTTACCTTTTGGTATTTTCAGAACCAGCCAAAGGCCTTTTTTTGTGCTGATGGCAGTCTTTCATTAATGGGATCATAATTTAATTACTTTGGGTAAAACTACCGCTCATCTTTTTCATAAGTCGATGGAGATAAAAAATATATATCTGTGGGTGTTTACATTTTTATTGACCTGCGTTTTTAAAAATTGTTATTTATGTTTGCAGACTTTTGCGTGAAGAATTGCAAGCAATCAGATGCGCTTCTCGCAGCCGTCTGGAACCCTCTTCCGATATGATTTCCCCAGCACCTGTGATTAGCACGGTTGGCTACGTACGTTATGTAGCCAACATACATACATTATATTTCTAAGCATTAAACAGCATACGAGGAACAGTCCGAAATGCCAAACTCCTTAAGATTTCGCACTGTAAAAGGGACTGTCTACATAATATTCGAAGCAGAAGAGGATCCAATATATATTGAGATGGAAGGTATTTACGAACGTATGCTGGAGTTACCTGCCATGATCGTGACGAGAGACAACTCACAGCCATGCAACAGAGGAAACAATCCTCGTCACATGCCCACGATTGAATCACCACCAAATGGGACATCGCTACAGAGAGGTGGTAGACTGGAACTGCGTTTCCCACATTTTCGAAACTTGGTACGCCTTTTTCGAAAAAAGAACTCAACCTAAATGGCATGTTCCGAGGGGTTCACACCTGCACCCTCTATGGGATTAACTTTCTCTGCATCAAATGATGCCCAAATGCATTTTCCATCGAAGCAAACAAACTCATACGGTTCGAATCCTACATCCCAGAGATGAAACGTCTTCCTCGCAGGCCCTTACGGCACATTTGCCCAATGTTAACTACAGCCACATCACACACACAGACACTCTGGCTCGTAGCATAGCCGGCGCATTGCACTTGATTATTGAAATGCCACCGTTAACTCGGATATCAGATTAACGCCTCTCAAAAAAGACATGACAGCGGCTCCAAAGCAGCGCCATCCTGGCCATTAGGCCTGATCATACTGTTGGATATCGACCTTTTTCCAAAATTAATATCAATAATATTTGCATATATTTTTAATGACCCAAAATTAATTAATAAAAACACGTAAACCAGAGCCAGCAAAAAAAACAGATGTCGATCGTAACAGGGCCATTAAACCAGAAAATCCAGGAGATGAGCTATACACAGTAATAAACCCAGTCATAGAGAGGGTCGCCCCCTTCCCCCCCAGGGTCGTATAACACAGATAGATTTACAAACACACAAACACGAACGCACACACACACACACAATCCACGCCCCTCCCCACCGCGCAGAGCGGAGATTCTTCTTTTTGAATATAACGGCCCACCATCATCTCGAAAGTCAAGTCCATTCCAGTTAAGTTCGATACAACGAGTTCAACAGCCGGAGAGCGGCAGAAGAGATGGCGAGAGCGAGAGGCTGGCTCTGAGGATCCCGCGATCAACCGAGCATGGCGAGACTCACAGAATTGGCGAGGTGCCACCGAGTGTGAGTTCAGGGCTGAGGGACGAAGTATCACTCGAAACTTTATTCCTACATCAAGTGCCAGCCATCCAGCAGCGGAAAAAGCTTGGCCAGCCGCCAACAAACAAAGTGTCAGCATCTCCACAGAGAGAGCGCGTGCGACGTGGCTCAATCAGCAGCGGAAAGAGCCCGACCAGCCGCCAAGCAAGAGCGTGCAGCAGTCATCCAGCAGTGAAGAAAGCCGGCTGTCAGCGAATCAGCGCTGAGAGCGCGCGGGCATCTCAACAGAGAGATCGCGTGCGACTTGGCTCATCCAGCAGCGGAAAGAGCCTGACCAGCCGCCCGTGAGCAAGAGTGTCGGCGCCAGCGAGCGCGCCGTGGGTTCGACCCACAGGCACACCGACCGGCACCAGCTGGGAACCGAGACAAGAGTGAAGAACTACAGCCAGCGGACGAGCTGTGCGGGCGCTGTCTGACGACGGATCATCGCACGACGACGAGCGTCGTGCCGACTCTTCCAGCCAGCTGTGGACACCCCCACCGCTCCGCAGGGAACAAACACATTCTCGACACAAGAGATGCCAACCTCGGCGTCTGCTTTACGCAAAGAATTGAACCAGCGATAAAGAAGACGCACGATACGCATATCGGGACAATCAAGAAGGGTTGCCGCTCCAAGGTGGTGCATTAAAAATCAATTGATAACGAAGAACATTGTTGCCATCGAGTTACGTGAATACGGTGACTGAGAAATATTTTAGTCGGTCGTCTTAATGGCATGATCTTGTTATGGATCTAGGAATGAACGCGGTACTGTGTGTGCAAATTCCAGTATAATCACTCATAATAGAGAGTTAAGGTTTTGCTTAGAGTAGGCTTTGCATGTTTTTTCTCTCTCTCTCAACAACCGAGGTTGCGTTACGCGGTGGTTAACCATATGTGCCGTGACCAGAGTGAAATAACGCAGAAGTGATGATACGGTGTTGAAATGCCAAGATCGAGAGTGCATCTTCTAAAGTTAAAGTTTAGTTAGAAAATTAAAATGATTAATGCAGAAGCGACTGTGTGATTCTTTCTGAAATTCCGCATAAGAATTGTTCTGCGATTGAGATCTGAACTTGGTGACCTAAACACACTCGCACATACTCAGTATATGTTAAAGCGAGAATAATCGTATCCTTATTGATAATACGGAGTTAAACAACGAAGCCGAGTTGACTGGCATTCACGCTCACAACACCTGCATAACTGCATACGATCAATTGTCTTATTCCGATTGGATACGACCCTAATTATCATAACAACTTGCATTATCATAATCACCCACACTCGCATAAATTAAGACGATTAGATCTCGAATTAGCATAATTATATGCTTAATTACACAAATTAACATAATTTCGGATAATTATTAAAAAAATCTAAATTGTATTTAATTTTTATTATTTTTATTATCAAATTTTCATTACCCACATATACAACAATACGGCTTACGTGGCTTTAACACGTAGGCTTTCACGGCCAATATTATTAATAATAAAGGTTTTTGTGCGTCGTAACCCTCCACCACCTGACATAGCCAAAAAAGTTCTTCACGTAAAGAAAACGTGCCAGTTTGTTACTATCATCATAAGTTAGTTACTATCATCATCAGTTAGTTACGACTTCAGCCCGCCGGTGTGTTGGAGAGTAAATCCACAACATTTACAATTTTGAGTAGTACGACGTTTCACTGGTAATAACATCCAGCATCATCGGGTGATTTGCCAGAATAGAAACGTCGTTACTCGAATTATAAATGTTGTGGATTTACTCGTCATCACACAGGTGGGCTTGAAGTAGTAACTAATTGGCACGTTTTGTTTACGTGACAAACCTTAGTTACTTAAAATAGATTATCTTTGCACATTCTTGTATGACATTGTATTAGGTGTTGTTACTTGTGAAATTGGCACAAGTAAACATACAAAAATAACGCAAATTAAACATTGTATTTACTGTATATGGGGTGATCTACAGTGAGGGAAAAAAGTATTTGATCCCCTGCTGATTTTGTACGTTTGCCCACTGACAAAGTAATGATCAGTCTATAATTTTAATGGTAAGGTTATTTAAACAGTGAGAGACAGAATAACAACAACAAAATCCAGAAAAACGCATGTCAAAAATGTTATGAATTGATTTGCATTTTAATGAGGGAAATACGTATTTGACCCCTCTGCAAAACATGACTTAGTACTTGGTGGCAAAACCCTTGTTGGCAATCACAGAGGTCAGACGTTTCTTGTAGTTGGCCACCAGGTTTGCACACATCTCAGGAGGGATTTTGTCCCACTCCCCTTTGCAGATCTTCTCCAAGTCATTAAGGTTTCGAGGCTGACGTTTGGCAACTCGAACCTTCAGCTCCCTCCACAGATTTTCTATGGGATTAAGGTCTGGAGACTGGCTATGCCACTCCAGGACCTTAATGTGCTTCTTCTTGAGCCACTCCTTTGTTGCCTTGGCCGTGTGTTTTGGGTCATTGTCATGCTGGAATACCCATCCACGACCCATTTTCAATGCCCTGGCTGAGGGAAGGAGGTTCTCAGCCAATATTTGACGGTACATGGCCCCGTCCATCGTCCCTTTGATGCGGTGAAGTTGTCCTGTCCCCTTAGCAGAAAAAGACCCCGACAGCATAACGTTTCCACCCCCATGTTTGACGGTGGGGATGGCGTTCTTGGGGTCATAGGCAGCATTCCTCCTCCAAACACGGCGAGTTGAGTTGATGCCAAAGAGCTCCATTTTGGTCTCATCTGACCACAACACTTTCATCCAGCTGTCCTCTGAATCATTCAGATGTTCATTGGCAAACTTTAGACGGGCATGTATATGTGCTTTCTTGCGCAGGGGGACCTTGCGGGCGCTGCAGGATTTCAGTCCTTCACGGCGTAGTGTGTTACTAATTGTTTTCTTGGTGACTATGGTCCCAGCTGCCTTGAGATCATTGACAAGATCCTCCCGTGTAGTTCTGGGCTGATTCCTCACCGTTCCCATGATCATTGCAACTCCACGAGGTGAGATCTTGCATGGAGCCCCAGGCCGAGGGAGATTGATAGTTATTTTGTGTTTCTTCCGTTTGCGAATAATCGCACCAACTGTTGTCACCTTCTCACCAAGCTGCTTGGCAATGGTCTTGTAGCCCATTCCAGCCTTGTGTAGGTCTACAATTTTGTCCCTGACATCCTTGGAGAGCTCTTTGGTCTTGGCCATGGTAGAGAGTTTGGAATCTGAGTGATTGGTTCCTTCTGTGGACAGGTGTCTTTTATACAGATAACAAGCTGAGATTAGGAGCACTCCCTTTAAGAGTGTGCTCCTAATCTCAGCTCGTTACCTGTATAAAAGACACCTGGGAGCCAGAAATCTTTATGATTGAGAGGGGGTCAAACACTCATTTCCCTTATTAAAATGCAAATCAATTATACAAATTTTGACATGCGTTTTTCTGGATTTTTTTGTTGTTATTCTGTCTCTCACTGTTCAAATAAACCTACCATTAAAATTATATACTGATCATTTCTTTGTCAGTGGGCAAACGTACAAAATCAGCAGGGGATCATATACTTTTTTCCCTCACTGTATATACGTGCAGTATTTTCATTGTTTAGGTTGTATGGAGTGTATAATGTATATATATATAATATTTGACTGCAATCAATCGTTGCTGGTTTCGCCGGATCGGCCCAGGACCGCCGGATAATGCTGGAAGCAGCCGGATAATCGATGATCAGCTGTATTTTATTGTCCTCTACTTTTGGTTCAGAAATATTCAACGTCCCAAATTAAACTGGCTTATTACATTTGAGAGAGAAAAAAAAAAACATTGTATTTTCAAAAACGGTACGCTTCATGCTCCTGCTTAAGCTAAGGTTCGTTCACAATAAACATTATAGTCATGGCTGTACACTCAGAATGGATATTTGTTGTCTCTTATGTCAACATTTGACGTGGTATTTTGACACTGACCTAGTACTCACTGTATTCAACATATTTCATATTAGTCGGAGTTTGACTTCTATATTTGGAGAGCAGGGATTCGTACTCTGTTTTTTTCGGTAAAGTCACGTAGGTAAAATAAAATAATGAAAAAACAACTAAATTAAATCACGACGTTTCGGAGGCAACACGAGCTTCCATCTTCAGGTGGAAACCGTCACAGCAAAATTGCTGTATCAAGTGAAGAGAGCTCTAAGAGATCCGAGATTATATACAGGTTAAGGGGGGGGGGGGGGAGGAGCCAGGACGGGCCGTGGGGGGGGGGGGGGCTAAGTTAAGCCGCCTTTTGTTATGCTGCAAGGGGTTAGGGGGTGGAGAAGCGATGGCACGCTGCACGAGAGCGAGTACAACCAACTGGAAGAAATGGAAATGGCTGTACAATTATAAGGCAGCTAAAGTTTGACTTGGTTGATGACATCTTTCCAATGATTGCTCAATTTAAAACCATCCTCTCGGTTGGAGTTGTGTCTATGTTTGTATATCTGGATGGCTTCATGCACAAATCGTTGGTAGTATCCGGGAGGTTTGCAGAGTACTTTGGTATCGGAGAAAACAATATCATGAGAACCCGCTGTGTTGAAACAATGATCAGCTACGGCCAAAGAATTCGTTCTGCCGCGTTTCAAATCTGATTTGTGCTCGCGAAATTCGGTCAGAAATATGTCGTTTCGTCTCCCCGATATAGCAGTCACCGCAGGTACAACTCAATTTGTAAACACCGGGGTGCTGTAATTCAGGAATGCTGTCCTTTACGGATGGGATCAGATCACAGATTTTGTGTACTCTATTGAACCGGACCTGGATCTTGTGTTTGTTTAGAATTTTGGAAATCTTTTTGGTAACGCCTGCTATGTATGGCAACGTAATGATTTTGATCAGAGTGTCAGGTGGTTGTTTCTGTATGGTGGGAGAAACAGCTTGGCGGATAGTATGGTCAGAGTATCCGTTCATCTGGAGGGCCAGATGTACATGTTTTCATTCACTGGCCAGGTGGTGTTGGTCAGAAATGCAATGAACCCTATGGTATAGTGTTTTGATGAAGGAATTTTTTTGTGCCGGGTGGTGGTGGTGGGAATCAGGCTTCAAGTAGGAATCTGTGTGGGTGGCCTTCCTGTAAACAGAATGTCCCAAAGAGC